TCTCACTCCTACTTCCCTAGTCACTAAATTACCGCCGTCAGAACTCGCCCCGTCCTCAAGCTTGGCATTGAGTTCCCTTGCTCAAGTGGTACTAACAGAAATTTAAAACTATTTCTTTATCCATGCCGTTCTCAGTTCCACTGTGCATTTTCTGCAGGCTGTGAAATATATTAAATGAACGCCGCCCGCCCCAAAACAAAGCATCGAATTTTGATCATACCTGGTATTATAGATCTACACGAAGATCTGGTGGAAGACGTTTGGTTCATATCGGTCCAATAAAAGCCCCGCTTCACCTAAAACTCGCGCCGATTTCACCCATTTTTTACAAACGGCCCATCAATAAAGTGAAATATAGGCAAAATTCACAAAATATCTGTGAGTCTGAGCTACGGTCACAGTAAAAGGATCAGCCCAGGGGGGGAGCACGACGCCGAGTACCTGCAATGGCGAAAGACGCTGGAAGACATCTTGCGACACGCTTCAGTACATCGGTCTAGAAACGGTCTGCGTAGTTATTTAAAAACTTGAATTGTATTTTCAACATTTAATAAATGTAGAAGCACACAACTGAGGTTTGGAAGGGGTTACATGCAAATTTGACAAACCGCCTCAAGGGACGTGTTTTTATGTTGTCGTGGTATGAGATGACATCCATCTTCCTGTCTCCTGAAGGGACGCCAATTTGTAAAAGAGACTTTACAGTTATGTCAACACAACTTTGCATAAATACAGCACTGCATTTCAAAACCAGCAAGAAAAACAAATAAAAGAAAATGAAGAACGTTTTATAAAAACGAAGCAAATTTCAGAGCACAGAACAATGAATAGTGAAACGTGGTGGTATCCGTAATATGCTTTATGCATTGTTATTAAAATTGATTTAAGAGAAGAGTTTAAATTTATAACAGAAAAGATCTAGTGACAAATAGTTCAATGTGTATGCTTTCCTTACACTCGATATGGTGAGACTAGAAGGAACTACAAATTATTACCTATTCAATTTAGTGGACAATTTCAACTGGTTTCGATGACATATGACCTCAGATATTTGCACCATGGTAATATTTGTAATTTTTTACACA